CAGTTTTAGGGAAGGTTGTATCTCTCTCATCACATGAATTTTCTTTGGTACTTGCCATATGTTTCTAGTTGGGAAAATGACACAAATGGTCCCTGAACTTTGGTCCAATGTGTAGTGTGGTCCCCGAACTTTTAATTTGTTCAATGTAGTTCTTGGACTTTAGCCTAATGTGCAATGTTGTTCCTGAACTATTTAATCGTTCAGTGTGATCCATACACTTTTGGTACATGTTCAATTTGATCCTTGGACTATATGAAAATGTTTAATGTTGTTTCTGAACTAGAATTAATGGAAGAACAACATTGAACATTTTCATATAGTTCAGGGGTTAAATTAAAAATGTACCAAACGTTACATTCAACAAATTGAAAGTTCAGGGACAATATTGCACATTGGGGTAATGTTGAGGGAACACATTGAATAAATTAAAAGTCCAGGGACCACATTGCATATTAGGCAAAAGTTTAGGGGTCATTTGTGTCATTATCCATTTCCAGTTCAGCTCAAGGAGTGATGGTACTCTATGTAGGCAGTTTCTTTTTTCCATTTGACGTGAATTTGTCCTGCAGTTTTAATTTGTCTGACCCCCTTTTGAGGCTTTCCTTCACGATTCCATTTGTTTTGTTTTTAGATACATAGTATTGCCGGAAGCCCACATGCAGTAATGAACATATTAGGGGAAAAAAGAAGCTCGGACTACTTTTCATGAGCTTATGAAATCTCCAACCAAATCCAGTTACTTCTTTTTCTATGTTTCATGTTTTCCTGGAAATTGTGTCTTGGGGTGATAAAAGGCCTGTGATGCACAAATTGACCTATTTTCAGATCTGATTTTAGTGTGAAAAATTTTCAAATGTGTTAGGATTAAGGTTGGTTTCGCAAACTATGTTAGGATTAAGCTTGATTATAAAGGTTTTACTGTAGATACCGTGTTGGTGTACTAAGCCCTTTTAACTTCATCCATGTCTGCCTGCACTTCTTAGTATTAAAGGGTTAACCTGTTTCCTTGCAGGATGCCACAATTGAACAGCTAGTGCCAATATTCTTGTCTCTTCTGAAAGATGAATTTCCTGATGTTCGACTGAATATCATTAGCAAACTTGATCAAGTTAACCAGGTCTGTGGAATCCCTTATTGATTGTTGAATCACATTTATCTGGGACTTGCGATATTTTAAATGAGTGGACTTGGAGTATGAATATTAGTGAAAAAGCTCCAAATATGGAATAATGTCTTTGACGAAAATCCCCGTTTTCATTTGCTTTTATAAGCAAATTCCACTTTTTTTAAAAAAATTGAAAAAATATTATGTTAAGTTTTGTAAAATTATATGTAGATCTACAAGCCAATATTTGTATGTTTTGAATGATTTTAGATATTTTGTGTCGAATAAAAGACAAAATGTAGGGGTTGCAAGATTTAAAAAACGAAAAAAGTACTTAAAAATAAGTCAATACCAAACAGATAAATATATCCGTCACATGGAAGGACTTTTCATGCCTCTACTATCTAGTATCTAGATAGTTCGAACATGTTAGTTAAAGTAGAACTTCTAAGGCAAGACTGCAGGGACAGTTCTGGTATGTCTTGGTCCTTGGTGTAGACTTCTTAGATCTAGATGTGTGGTCCATTTGGCATGTCAACCATGCATGAGCTTCATATCTTAAATTTGTCTTCATTTATTTGTGGTGTTTTTGGAACTAGAAACTATCGGAACCACAGAGCTTATGCAGTGCTTGGTATGGTAAATCAGAAATGTGCTGCCCTGTATAGGCTCATGTTGACGATTATGATTAGTGATTGGTTGTAAATTAGCTGTGACTATCATAAATGATCTATAGTTCAAGCGCTTCGATTGCTTTAGATAAATGTAGGTCTTGTTTAAGGGTATTGTAAGGACACTCCTTAAGCATTACCAATTATAGGAAGTTTCTTTCTTTAAAATATTTGAGTAAGGATACTATACCTCTCACATATCTAGGATAAATTCTTTACATTTTCAAGATGCATTCTTTGCCATTAGTTGTGTAGAGAACTAATTATCATCTCCCAGCAAATATTTGCATGGCCAGTCAAGGTGTGTATGCAGTAATTGTTTTACCTACACCTGTCTCTATGGGATTTGTACTATTCATTAACTGGGAAATGCTAAATTGCAGGTGATTGGAATTGATCTGCTCTCCCAGTCTCTATTACCTTCTATTGTTGAACTTGCAGAGGATAGGCACTGGAGGGTTAGGCTTGCCATCATAGAGTACATACCGCTGCTGGTTAGTCAGTTGGGTGTTAGATTTTTTGATGATGAACTTGGTGCTCTATGCATGCAGTGGCTGAAAGATAAGGTGATTCCTTGCTATAATTAGTGTTGTATATACATGTGTTGTGCATGGGGTAATGCTTGTGAATCTCTTTACCATGTCATTCATCCTTGTAGGAATGTGGTGCCATGTGAAGCATCTTAACATATCCTTTTTAATGAGTCTGTGATGGTTGTAGGTATACAGTATCCGAGATGCCGCTGCTAATAATGTGAGGCGCCTTGCAGAAGAATTTGGACCAGAATGGGCAATGGAACATATAGTTCCACAGGTATCTCCAGCTGTTGCTTTTAAACTATTAAAAAAGTTCTGACCAAAATTTTTTTTTATTAAAAAATGGGATAAATAAGATATACATGAGAGTCTCGTCACATTCTGAATTAGAATTTTCCTTGCTGCTTGCGTGGTATTATTACCACGGGAGATAATGTAGAGGTATTATTTTAGGTTGCTCTTTGCTGCAATTTTCTTGTATGAGGATAAGGATGCCTTTAAATAGCTTGTCATTTGTGGACAGGTTTTGGACATGATAAACAACCCGCACCATCTATATCGGATGACCGTCCTTCATGTGATATCTCTGCTTGCTCCTGTCATGGGATCCGACATCACTTGTTCAAAACTTTTGCCAGTGGTTATTAGTTCCTCAAAAGATAGGTAAAACCGCGCCTGATTTCTTACTTCTTTACAGAGCTTATGCCTCTCCATTGTTTATATGATTGTTTGAGTTGCGTGGAGAAATGGGCTGAGAGTACTCATACGTGGCAGGGTACCCAATATCAGGTTCAATGCGGCAAAGGTGTTGCAGTCTATTATTCCTCTAGTCTAAAACCGCGCCTGATTTCTTGCTTCTTTACAGAGCTTATGCCTCTCCATTGTTTATATGATTGTTTGAGTTGCGTGGAGAAATGGGCTGAGAGTACTCATACGTGGCAGGGTACCCAATATCAGGTTCAATGCGGCAAAGGTGTTGCAGTCTATTATTCCTCTAGTCGATCCTTCTGTAAGTAGCATCCGTGTTTACCTCAGCGAAGCATATTTGTTGTGTAAAGCTTTAAATTTCTTCACGTTTAGTATTATCTAAAAGTAGAATAAAGAAATTTAATGTTTTGTTTTGGAATCATGGTTCTTTGAGATTAAATTTGCCCACAAGGAGTTGGAAGGTTGATGCGATTGTTTCCTCACATTTAATTTGTGCTGGAAGATTTACTGGCATAATTAATGTTTGGGTTTTATTGACATAGGCGCTCTTGAAAATAAACTGCAGGTTGTGGAGAAGACTATTCGTCCGTGTTTGGTCGAGCTGAACGAGGACCCAGATGTTGATGTTAGGTTCTTCGGCAGTCGAGCCCTTCAGTCAAGTGTTCAGGTCATGGTGATGAGCTAAGAATTGTTAGCTGTAGATTGTCTCCGTTTTGTTATTCTTTTGGCGTGGCTCTTTTTTATTTCCTAATTTTGCTCGCCCTCAAATTGGAAGCTCATACTGAGCAACTTGATGATTTGTCCAAGGGTTTCTCTCTTTTCATATCTCAATTTTAGAGTTCAAAATTAGCTGATAGGTATCATGGCTGACTTGATTCAGGCATGAGATAAATATATTATATGCATGTAATTTGTCCGAATACACAGATAAAAAGATACACGATTATAAAAAAAAAGGGTAATTATTGGTTGACAAAAACAGAAAAGAGGACAGAATACGTGCACACTTCGGCGACAAAATATAATCCCGATTGGGAATCTTGCCTGACCTTCGTGTTTTAGTCTTTCCGTCGGGATTCATGGGCCTTGGATCTAACTAGCAGGTTCGGCTCCGAAGTTGCGATTACCTTCCCTAAATCCCTAACCCTTCTCAGTTGCCCACTGCGAATTGTCATGGGCCTCCCAGGCCCAATTTAATCAGATTTTGGTCCTCTTAGGACCCATCCTGATTAACACAGTTCTGGAGGCCCAAGGGCCTGCCCATGAGCCCACATTAGTCACTTTGGGAGCTCTTGGGCCTGCCATTATGGCCAGGACGCCGAATGCCAACTTCTTTGGTACTTCTGGGCCCAATTCGACTGGCACTTCTTGATTTTAGGGCCCATTGCGAATTACTATGGGCCTCCTAGGCCCAATTCAATCGGCTTTCGGCCATTTTAGGGCCCATTCTAACCAACAGATGGGCCTGTGGCTCACCCAGTAGCCCAGAACAGTCACTTAGAGAGCTCTTGGGCCCGAAGTGGCCAAAAGGCCCACTGTGAATTCCCCTGGGCCTCCGAGACCACATTTAATCAGCTTTGAGCCTTTTAGAGCCCGTTCTAGCCAACACGTGGTCCAGGAAGCCCATGGGCCCTCCAAGCCAAATGACTCCGAAGCAGTTACGAAGCCCAGCCTGCCCCAGAAATGATACATGAATTATCTTAGACTCCTGATTGGGCCTTAAGATGGCTTGGGGCCCACAATTCACAAGTGGGCCTTTGTAAAGCAAGTTAACAAGGCCACCATATCTAGGCCCACTAATTGGACATGGGCTTATGGAACTAGCTTCGTGACTGCCTGGATTAGTCAGGCCCGCCCGAGGCCCAACTTCTCCATCACCCTATTTACTTTCTCTTGGGTCGGGCATGGCCGTGCTGTCTTACTGGGTCGCACCAGCCCAATCGAGATAAGAATTCTCTGCGAATTTAACTGGCACATTACTTCGACGGCTAAAGAGATAGTAATATTCTATATGTATAGAAATACATAGAGGCTTGAGATCCCACTTATACCATTAATGTATATTTACAAGCTAATTAGTTTTTCTTATCTTCACTCACCTTTTCAATATAGGATTACGCAAATAAATAACCCAGTCGTGCCGCACATGTGGGGAGGGACATGAGCCTCGCAAAATCATCATATACAGGAGGATACAGTCTCGATGAGAATTTGATCTTTCATATAAACGGGCGGCTCTGATACTTTTCCGGTTTGACACAGTCAGATCGAGTCCACCCAATTCTGTGGTTCCCATTGTCAAATACCACCAGCTTGCCGCGTAGCGATATATCTGTAGACACCAAAAGTCCATGGATCTTTAAGAGGACCATAAAATGAGCTTTTTTATTCATAGTTGTTTGTTAAAGAAGCGGCATGCTGTGTTTTGGACTCCGAAAAGAAAAAGGGCGATACCTCCGAGTATGTTTGTGGATCCATCAAGCACCCTGCTTCCATCAAGAATGCCCAAGCACACATTTCCTTTATTCTGCCAAGCAAGGAGCGTAGACATTGCGCAGAAAATTAAGCTCTATGTACACAGAAAGAAAGAGGGTATATAGAAATTGCCCCTTACGCTGAGGATCAAATAGCCTTCAGGAGGGATATGAAATTTCGTGGATAGTATCCACCATTTGCTCCCAAAATGAAGGGTCAAAGTTTTGAAGATGTGCTTCACATCAGCGATCGATCTAGAGAATTTCAGACACCAATGCAGTATTATCTTACAAACTCTTGAGGTTAATGACATCACATTCATTGAAGAAATTTCCAGAGACGCAAGAGATAAATAATTGTAAACCCAGAGAAAAGCTCGCTCTCTGGACAGAGGGACCTAAGGACCTAGAACAAAGTCAATTTATTGCTACCGCTATTAGTTAATAGGCTGTGAGAACCAAGAGAAGAGCACTATGTAGCGTCCAATTATCCATTACCCATGTGCTCTGATCTGATCATCTACTTCAAACAAAGCTTATACTGCCATTTACTTCCACGGGGCTGAGTCAATAGCTATTATTCTTGCAATCCGTTATAGATTCTGAGTACCTATAAATATTTATTTGGGTAAACAGCTTCTAAAGTTGAAAATGTTTAAATCTCTCCATTAACCATTTCCTTCTACTTCCACTAGTATTTTGTGTGTTTCTGATTACTTCCTGTGCCACTCATACATGGTTCGAAAGACTTGCAATCTGAAACATGAAAGAGTTCATAGCAAGAAGTAATTCAATCTTAGCTTGTCAATCATGGCTTTATGAAATGGGGTATAAAACATTGGTTTTTAGCTAATTTTGTTTTCTTGAAAAAGATGCTAAATACAGCTATAGGATTATAAGATCTTAAAAAGCCTTAAACATTCCAATAGCAAGCCATAGATTTGCACTGTCGAAGGAGAGGAGAATATCTTTCTCATTTTACTTCTACCTGATAATATATTCAGCTCGCCAACATATGGGCAGTGTATCATCAGACTGATCTTGGCTGAGTCCCATGCTAGCCAGACTTTTAAGCTGCATCAGAGGTTCCGTAGACAAACTAAAATTACTGTGAATTCCAAGATGAAATGATTAATTGCCAGAGTGGCTACTGACAACAGGACTTACAGAATCAACCAAGTTGGAGTACGCTTGTTTGGAAAAGTATGTATAAGAACTGCCACTGTCAAAAACTATTCGCCCTAATCCACTGTTCTGACCACCAAAATTGAGTGAACTGCTCCCATATCTCAGTTTGAGAATCTCCGTCTGATATAAGTTGCTGGAAAGAGACAGCGGACCATGAATGGATGCCGGAGCAAAGTAATGCAAAACGGACTCATTCAAAAGAAGAACAACGACATTGAAACATCTAAACACAGACAAAGAGAATGAGAAACAGGAAATGGGGATTAACAACACAAATCCAAAATCCTTGGAGGTAAAACGCATGCGTTTACCCCAACAAAATATGGCTTTTTCAAAAAGGTTCCTTTAAAGTGATTTACTTCTCACTTTCGACTTATTCAAAATCTTACCGTGCATGCCCTTTGAATTCTTTTTAATGTAAATTGCCTGAAACCTTTTAAAATCGTTTTATATTGACATGTAGACTCAGATATAAATTGTTCATAATTATTAAAATTTGAATAATATTGTAAATTTTGGCAGGAAAGTAAGAAAAGTTACTTTTTGACTTTTCAGAAGTACAAACAAACAAATCCAAATCAATCAGAAAAGTAAAGCGGCAGTTTAAAGAGTACCCTAGATGCCCATACTCACGTAGAAGGACTTTTCATCATGGGGATCCATGACATACCCCCATTGGGTAGAAAGCCATCACCCAAGAACATATAACCCCCTCCAGAGGCATCTGAGGAGAGACAATGGCCTACAACATTGTTAATCACTCCAAGGCTTGCCAACTGGGAAGGCAAGCTGACTCTAGATCTGCTCAAACCAAATATTCCGTCCGTCTTTGTCAGGGTGTTTAGCAGTTGGCCTTGCTGATCATATGCACACCTAACATGAGATACAAACATATTAGCATTTCATCTAGTAAAAATCATACAGACAAGCAATCTGCATGCAACAACACAGAGAGGCATACCCGAAAACCACATTTACTTTGGCCAACGACCCATTTTTAGTCCTTAGATGGAGCTCATCTCTTGCAAGAACGCCCATGGAGGAACTATGATCTGCATATTCGATCTCATAATCACACTGTTGGCATGTCTCACAATATTCAGTCCCCTCACTCCTTTGGACTTCCTTGCACAACGAGTCCTTTGGCAGTACTATTTTGCCTCCCTTTGGGTTGTAGAGAGCATTGGCACCCTAAAGGGTGTTTTCATCAGTAAGGGAACATGAATAAATATGACAGAATATTGATCCATCCTTTTAATAAAAATATGTGGAAGATGGATTTGCAAGTTGCTTTTTTCCCACGATCCTTTCTTAGCTCTCAGGTTGGTTGACGACCTCTGACAAACCCCATTTAGTGAGTTTTTTTGGTTAGACTTTTTTAAAGCACATTTGGCTCTTCTTTTCCCAAGGCTCAGTAAATTTGAATCTTACTAACATAAAACATCTAAAATCTTTCAAAACATACAGATATTGATATGTTGATTCCTCGTATACTTTTTTTATGTTTTCTGAAAGCTTAAAATATATCTGTTTCCATTTCAAATTTTGAAAGATAAAGTAAGTTTTGCTCTTTCTCCTAAGCAAAAGCAAACACACATTTTTTTAAAGTTCACCTCTATTGAACGATTCAGTAAGAATTAAATAAATAATGCAATTTATTAATCGTTCAGCAAACTAGTAACAGTAAAACTAACTTAGCAATACCTTGCCACAGCTTCTACACGGAGCATCACATTGGATCCACGTTAAATCACTCCCAGTATCCATATCAAGATAATACCGTTTTGGAGGAGTCCCAACCAGGATGTAAGTAAAATACAACCTGCTCAACAACCAGTAATATGAATATACTACTTTAAAAACAAAGGCAAGCTCACTATTTTGAGCCTTTTGCATTCGCAGCTTGATAAGTAAGGAGGATTTGAGAAACAGACGAGTCAAGAGACAATGGAAGATGTAAATATAAACAAAAAAAGCATATGTTGCCAGATCGTCCACCACAAAACAGAAATAATGTTTTGACAATATCTTGATAAACCAACGTGGCTTCTTCAAATTGCCAATGCAATATATCATGCAGAATGCTTGAGAAATTAGTGCTCCAAACACGCCCGAAAAAATACTAATTACCGAGAAAATCATCTGCTAATTGATTACTCTTACAGAATCAATTTAAGCATTATAGATTCAACTACTACGAAATACATCCTTGGCAATAACAATATCATGCAATCAATGGAGGCCCTTAGTACTAGTAGCAAAATTCAAAGTTAATGCTATCGAGCACGGCGAAGCACATAGGTACTTGCTTGCTAATGATGTATCCGAGAAAAATATTACAACTTGTAAATCTTCCACTATCTAACATATCGCGGCAAGCAAGATATACAAAAACGTGAGATTGGTGATCTCTAGTTGTTTGCTTTTTGTCGAAAAGGATTGTCAATGACACTTCTCGGAACCAGTTAATGTATCACATTCCCCTCAAAGGTAGGTTTTATACTTCTATAAGACCACATCTAAGTGAAAATCCAAAACTATTAAGCGGAGGAATACACTTACAGCACTAATCCCACCCAACTGAAAACAGAAGTAACACCAAGCTACAACAGAAGTTATTATTAGAAATTCTTGCTTTGATAAAAGGAAGAGATAAAATCATCTTATGCCCTGACAGAAAATTTTCTTGAGAAGAATGAGTCTATATGTTTCATGATTCGCATTATGGACATTTTAAAAGTCATAAGCTAGACATGTATATGCAAGCTTCTCAGATAAATCAAAACAGAAGTTTGTATTCAGGTTTCGGCCCCGCCGAATTTCACTTCATGAAACTGTTCAGTGAGATTCGCAGGAATAGCTTAGGGCACAAAGCCAAAGAAAACTGTACCGGTCCAACATAAGGAACAACTAAAACAATGTTATGGCGTCGCCGGAGCAGGGATATAGGTCCATTCTTTCAAAACAGTTACTTCAATACAAATTTACTAGATCAATTTGTTATCTTATTCTCAAGAAGCATTTCCAGACTTGGATATTTGCTTCAAGAAATCCTTGGACTACCTTGCATCCCGTGTGGTGAGGCTATATACCAATTTCATAGTTGCATGTTTGATGCCACACGATCTACACCAGAAACTTCACTATGCATATAAGCTAAATGCACTACGAAAGTTTGAGGCGCCTCCAAGAAGTTGATCCAGACCTATTAGAAAAGTGAAAAGTTCCCTTCCCTCTTCATTTACGAAAAAAGGACTAAAAAGTAGTTACTCTTCACTTGCCCCATCACAACTCCTATAGTTAGAATTTGCCAACAACTTAAAAGAAGAAACCTCATACTTCCTTCATTCAGCAGTAAATGCTTAATCTCCGAACCCGCAGATATAGGAAGAAGGATTCAACGAAAAACATCCCCACGTAATGCGTAAGAACCAAGAAGATACAACACTAAGAAATAGAAATTCAAGACATACCCATCTGGATACACATTGCCCCTGACGGGCAAAATAGCAGATGAATCAGTTACATCCTCGGAATCGACGAAATTAGGCCCCCTCTGGTTTTTCTTCGCGCGACCATCGATCGACGCCATGAATCTCTCCTCATCAAAACCCACGAACCTCCCTACCTTGAGCTGCACGTCATCCCCCGACAAAACACCCTCACCAAACTTAGGGAACAGAGGGAAAACAAACGTATCCCTCTCTCTGTCCTCGTCGGAGTCGCGCAGCTCCTGGAGGGTCCTCGAGTACAGAGAAGCGAAGAGAAAGAAGGCGAAAAGGGAGACACCCAGGAACCCCAAGACCGCTCTCGGGCTGCCGAGCAAGAGGCTCCTGAGAGAGAACCGAAGCTCGGGGTTTCGTGGGGGGAGTCGAACGGGGAGATCTGGTTGACGGGTCAGGGGGCGATCGGGTTCTTGGGCCGGCGAGGGAGGGGGGTCGTCGGAGAGGGTGAAGGCGGTGATGGTTTTGCCCAGCGAAGGGTTGTCCGGCGGGGGGAGGGTGATGATGACGACGCCCTTGAGCCGAGGGGAGTGATCGGATGCCATGTTCGAGAGAGAGAGAGAGAGAGAGAGGTGTGTGTGTTGGGGTTTAGGGATCGAGAGAGGAGGAACTGAAGAAGACGCGGACGTTCTGGGGAGTCATTCTCTCATCCATGGAGGAGTACTCGTTTCTGGACAGTGTCCTTCCAAGTCAATGGATAGAAGTCTCCCGTGGAAAAGTTCAAAGCGTAGAGAGAGAGAGAGAGGGATGAAAAGGCTCGGAACTTTCCAGTGGAGTTTGGGGGCGCCAATGCGATGCGCCAACGCGTGGACAAACCTCTGGCCTCCCCGCGGCAGAAGAGCACTCGCGGAGTGAGATCAGTGATTATGGCCCCATTGTATATGGGCCGTTGATTTGTGTGGGCTCCATGTGGGACCCACGTGATCCCGACGGTTGAAATTGGCCGAACTCATGTGTATCCGCTTCATCTGAGTGTTGCTCCCGATAGGAGGAGACAAGTTTCCTCAGGACTTACATACCGGTGCTCAAGCACTCGCTAGACGCGTACACGATTATTATTATTATTATTATTATTTTTGTATATATATATTTAAATATATATATATTTTTTTTTTTTCAATTTTATTTGGAAAAGTAATTAACTTTATATTTCACACTATAAAAAAACGTTTTTCTGGTAGTATTCTAGAGATGAATTCATTTGATAATTCACGGTTTGAGTGGGAATAATTATCTTGAAGAGATTTTGGTCAACATAAGATGTGGGGCTAATTCACATATCAACCCTTCAAATCTAATTCTTCTCTAAACTATTTCACAAAGTGGCATGTCATATTCATGGATGAATTCAGAGCATGCATCTGGAGCATCAATCGCTTTCGTCTCACACTCATTTTCCAAATTTACCGGAGGCTCAATTCCCTTGTAAAAGTATCAAAATTTAACTCGAGTTTCAATTTTGGTATGAATTTTATTTAATATTATAAAAAGGTACAAACTTTAACTCGGGTCCAACTTTGGCCTGAACTGTTTTTCCTAATAAAAAAGCATCAATTTTAGCTCGAGTTATAATTCTAATCCAAACTTTTTTTTATCTGATAAAAGAAACTAAAGCTTTTAGTCGGTATCCAAATCTAGTTCCCATCAAGTACATATGGAATTATACTTTGTTTTCTCAATTTGAAAATCCTACATATTTTCTGAGCTCGGTGATGACTGTTTTGTTGGTGTTTTTGTTTATGTAGGGCAAGGGGGGAGCTTTTTGTGCTGGTGGTGATGTTGCAGCTCTTGTGCATGATATCAACAATGGTACAGATCATTTTAGTTGTTTTATGGTTCATCTCATACTAACTGCGAATCAGAAATAGGGCCGAATTATATCTCGCTATAAGTAGATGCGCTTAAGCATCCAGTTCTCCCTTGTTTTAAGGTGAAGTTTCACTTGTCTATAGCGTCAATCTTGTCAATCCATCCTTCGTTAACCTATGAAAAAGATCATGCCGTCCATCAGTTTTAGACCAGGCTTGATCTCTGTTATATGCAATTTATATGGTGTTCATTCGGACTGGGAAAAGGTATGTCAATGATAATTTTGGTTTTTATTAATGTGCTAGGAAATTGGAAGTCATGTGCAATTGTCTCTTGGAAAGTGTTTTACTTTAAATTATCTGATGGCCACATAGAGTAAACCTCAGGTAATTTGATATTGTCGTGCGTATCTATTTGGGAGTTCATAATAGAGACATTGATGTCAGTATATCTAGGGAATCTTCATTTGAACTTACATGTTCAGTCTTACTTTTCACATGCTGGTTTTAATGAAGGTTTCAATATTGAATGGCATTGTCGTGGGAGTAGGGGCTGGCTGTTCCATACATGGTAGTTTACGCGTGGCAACAGAAAATTCGGTATTCCCTCTTTATGTTGGCTTACATTTCTTTTTTATTTGTTAAAAAAACCTTTTGTTATAGTCAAGTTGGGATGGTTGTTGCTTGACCCAAAAAAAAAACGTTGGGATTGTTGTATTGTGGCAGTCAATGGTGAGTGGTAGCGCACAGGTTACTTCTCAGCTTGTCCAATTTAGAGAGTGCATTCCTTGAAAAAAGAATCTCTTTGGCGTTAGGCGCTTTGCTGATGTCATTATCTCGCTTTCCGTTTCACTAGTTCTGGCTGATCTGCAGCTTAATTATTTACCAAAAATGCTGGTGCATTTCTTTTTATTAACTGACGGCTCCCATAGAATAGAACTTTTGTCCCTTGTTGTATATTCTGGTTGAGAAAAGATCATCATGATGTATTTTGAAATAATATGATCGTTTGCCCAATCATGTGGGGTTTGGTTTAGCAAATAAAAGAATTTAGGATTATTATCACTAGAAGTGAGGTGAATTAGATTCGGTGAAGCACACAGAGTCGGAGACCCAAATAAATCAGTCATTCCTACTGTCGTCAACATGTGTTTGAAGCAGGAGGATGATAGGAGGTACACAAATAAGGGGAAAAGTGCCATAAAAGTCATAAACCTTTTACATTAGTGCCAATTTAGTCCTAAACCTTTTTTTGGTGTCAATTCAGTCCTAAACCTTTTGCATTGATGCCAATTTAGTCCTAAACCTTTTTTTGGTGCCAATTCAGTCCTAAACCTTTTAAATTGGTGCCAATTCAGTCCTAAACCTTTTGTTTTTGTGTCAATTTAGTCCTTCCGGCCAATTTTGACCGGAATTTGCCGACGTGGACGCCTGCCGGCGGCCCGGTCACCGGCGCCGACGTGGACAAATTAAATAATATTTTAATATTTTTTTGAATTTTTATTTTTTTCCTTTTTTTTCTTTTTTTTTCCACTTTTTTTTTTGGGTTTCTCCTTCCTCCGGCCGGTCGCCGGTCCGGCGACCGGCCAGAGGCCAGAGGCCGGCGAGCTCGACCCCGCCGGCCACTGGGGAGGGCGGCCTCGCCCGGCGAGACCGAGCCTCGCCTTGGTCGGGCGAGGCTCGATCTCGCCAGATTCGGCGAGGTCGGGCCTCCCCGACCATGGCGAGGCTCGGCCCCGGAGGCCCGCGGCAGCTCGTCGGAGGCCGCGGCGAGGGCGAGCCTCGCCATGGTTGGGGGAAGCCCGACCTCGCCGGATCTAGCGAGGTTGGGCCTCGCCGGCGGGCCGGGCGAGGCTCGAGCCCTCGCCGGAGGCCGCGGCGAGGGCGAGCCTCGCCATGGTCGGGCGAGGCTCGAGCCCTCGTCGGAGGCCGCGGCGAGGGCGAGCCTCGCCATGGTCGGGCGAGGCTCGAGCCCTCGTCGGAGGCCGCGGCGAGGGCGAGCCTCGCCATGGTCGGGTGAGGTCGCCCTCCCCAGTGGCCGGCGAGGTCGAGCTCGCCGGCCTCTGGCCGGTCGCCGGACCGGCGACCGGCCAGAGGAAGGAGAAACCCAAAAAAAAGTGGAAAAAAAAGAAAAAAAGGAAAAAAAAAAAATTCAAAAAAAATATTAAAATATTATTTAATTTGTCCACGTCAGTGCCACGTCGGCGCCGGTAACCGGTCGCCGGCTGGCAAGCGTCCACGTCGGCAAATTCCGGTCTAAATTGGCCGGAAGGACTAAATTGGCACAAAAACAAAAGATTTAGGACTGAATTGGCACCAATTTAAAAGGTTTAGGACTGAATTGACACCAAAAAAGGTTTAGGACTAAATTGACATTAAAAAAAGGTTTAGGACTAAATTGGCATTAATGCAAAAGGTTTAGGACTTTTGTGGCACTTTTCCCCACAAATAAGGTGACAGCAGAAGAATATGAGAGTTTGGATGCTCAAAAGAGTAATTACTGAACATGAAGGAAAATACATAGTTAAGTGGTTATCCTTACATTGTTCGGCACTCTTCAAGCACAGACCCTAATTTTATACCTTGAATGACAAACTTTAGTGTCATTGAAGGTTAGGGGTTCTTGGGGAGAATGTACAATGGAGCATAGCTTGCCATTTTCTACTATTGGGCAACATCCGGGAATTTCATGAACATGCTTAGTCCGTCAAGAGCACGTATTAGAATAGAGAACGTTTCCCTGGCTTTATACTAGGATGATATACATATATAGGTGGGCAAGATTCCACAGAAGTCAACACAAGACTAGCTTAAATTTACTGTACATGCACTTAAATGTACCTTTATGTTATCTGAAATAGTGACTTGAAAGGATCCACTCAGTTGACTCCACTTAACGAGTTTGAAATTGTCGTTTGCTTAATGGATAAGAGACGGTATATATCTATTGGCATTTCTTAAAATGCATAAAATGGTTATTTTCCCAGTACCTTTTACCACTTTTTAAGCAATTGGTTACATAACCTGGAGTATCTAACCAATACTGCAGATATGTGTCGAATTGAGTGCTTCCTGTAAGCAAGCAATTGGTGGGTGCTATTGTGGTTGTTTATTTTCCAGCTTCTTGTTCCCTAAACATCATTCTTAGCAGGATTTCCAGCAGTTTTTTTATCAGCATTGCTTGCTTAATCCCATTGCAGGTTTTTGCTATGCCTGAAACAGCTCTGTGTCTCTTGCCAGACACAGGTGCCTCATATTTCCTGTCAAGGCTCCTGGGACATTTTGGTAATGGTCAACAATAGACAATGGCCCTTTATTGTCATATCTGTTTTACCAATCAATATTCATTGAAGATTAAAAGTTTCTAACTTCTGGAAGTATGTTATAATCCTTATTAGTTAGAGGTGCGGTTGTTAACAGGAGCATTCTACTGCTAGTGCTAGTCTGTACTACGGATGACTTCAAAAACCTAGGCAACAACCAAAACTTTTGAGTTCTTGAATCAACATATCTTAAGCTGGTGGGCATCCATCTAATATTCTGCAGATGTAGCAGATTTGCTACCGTGTTGAGATGACAAACATTGCGATCGATGGAGGCAACAAATGATACATAATAGTGATTATATGGCTCGTTGATGCTACTTAATGAAATGCAGGGTTGGCACACTTCAGCGACCATCCATTTTTTACACTTTGATTATAACCTGGATGGTGATGAGAAGAAAACAACATTCTTTCTGGTGTTTTGAGAAAAACCTTGATTTCAGTCCCTCCTTTATAGAAGATGGATAATTTCCCACCAGGAAGATACACATTGATTCTTTTTTCTCTTTTTTTCCATTTAAAGCTGAAAGATGAATCACATAAGTGGGGCTGTGTTCAGATGTTTTGAGCTTCTGCTGCCGCTCCATTTGTGGCTTTGGGATCTGGATGTTATAAATCATAAATTATCCCATTGATGGATTGACTTGAATTGTTAATAGCATTTAGAAATTGCACAAGAGAACTTATTGAAGAGATTCCCGTTGTTGATTTTGATAGATTTAGATCTAAGATTCTATGTTATTGAATATAGTTTTGAGAAGAGAGAAGAATCTAATATGCACATCTTTAATCTGATATTTTTTGTCGATTACGCTGATCTTTTATCCTTTTCTATCAAAATAATAGATTCACCTGGTTTGCAACTGAATCTGATGTTGACATGCAAGAAGCATTTTTCCTGCGGACTAAATTTCAGCTCATATATCTTGTAATAATAAAGATAAATGTCATGCACTAGATTTCAGCTCATACATTCTCGTACTTTCTTGGGGAAGTTACACGTATTCATGTTATTGGTATTCTGTTGGACTTGTTACCCCATTGTCTTGTCTAAATATTAAACTCCACCATGCTTCTTTGTTATCTGTGCCAGGGGAGTGTCTTGGTCTTACTGGCGCTAGATTGGATGGAGCCGAGATGCTTGCATGTGGCCTTGCAACTCACTTTGTCCCCTCAGCGGTATCCATCTGCTTTTACTTCAGTTTTGTGATTATTGCTTGGTACTAGAAGTTGTTACAGAAATTCCGCCCACTACAAAAAAATATGAATTTTGCCACGGAAATTTGCGACGGAGAATTTTTCGTCGCTAATTTGCGACGAATTTTTTTTCCGTCGCAAATTAGCGACGAATAATTTTCGTCGCTAATTTGCGACGAAATTTGCCACGAAATAAAAATTCGTCGCAAATTTGCGACGGAAAAAAACTCCATCGCAAATTTGCGACGGAAAAAAAATCCGTTGCAAATTTGCGACGAAAAAAATATTGCAAAATTTGCGCCAAAAAAAAAATCGCAAATTTGCGACGGAAAAATATCCGTCGCAAATTTGCGATGAAAAAAAAAAAATCGCAAATTTGCGACGAAAAAAAAATTCGTTATAAATTTGCGACGGAAAAAAAAATCCGTCGCAATTTGCTACGAAAAAAAAAAATCCGTCGCAAGCTGCTCGCCAATCTCTCAAATCTGCCCGCCCTAACCCCAATTTTTCTCTCTCTCTCTCTGCTACTCCTCATATCCCCCCTCTTCCGCCAAATACCTCTACGTCGCTCCCTCCTCCCCTCCGCCAGCCGTGATGGCCTCCGTCACCGCCACCGCCGCCGTTGCCTCTTCCTCCGTCGCCATACGCTCGTTCCGCGCCCACAAGCCCTCCCTCGCCCCAGATCTGGACGAGGTCGGCCGCCGCTCGACCTCGTGCAGATCTGGGCGACGGCGACGGCGATGGCGAGCGGCGGCCATGGGCGAGGCCGGGATCCGGTGCTTCGTCGCCGAGGGCCCCGCGATCTCCCAGCCGAGGGCCGCCGGCGGGGGACTGGTTGATTGCGTGGTGGTCGGGGGCGGGATCAGCGGGCTCTGCATCGCCCAGGCGCTCACCACGAAGCACCGCGACAAGGCCCCCGACGTGGTCGTCACCGAGGCCAGGGACCGCGTCGGTGACGACCACGTCGTCAGATTTCCGTCCCTTCATCCCGTTATTTTCCACTGAATGCATCTTCAGATGTACTTCTTCTCCAGGTATTACAAACTACAGAACACTCTCCAATCTGCATTTTGTACTTGATATGAAGGCTATGTTACTCTAATGTTCATATGCAGTTGGATCTATATACCGCATCCAATGGAGTTCTAATTAGAAATGCTGCCAGAACTAATCCCAAAGATCCTTCTATCGAGTTGGGACCTGAATTTGATAAGGTGAAGGTTACTTTAGTTGTGTATTCTTATTCCGCCTATTACGAATATTAATGTCATGTTTCATTATATCTGCCTTTTTCAGTTGGGAAGTTTTGTGAGCCGCTTCGAGTCTATTCCCAGTGTAGTTGAGTTGGATAGCTTGAAAGTCACTGGTGATGTGTAGTTTGGAAATGGCATTAAGCTCAAGGTATAGACATTGCGCTTGGCATTTGTTTTTATATACTTTATCTGATTATTGAGGATCTACTACAAATTTATGGGACCTATAGTAAAACTCATCAGACCACCGGTTAAATTGTGAAGATTTGCTTACTCTGTTGAGTCCATCTATAGAGTATGAGTTGCAAGTAAATCTATGTTTAGTTAAAGATGCAGTGTTTGCAATTTAATTTAGATCTAGGCTATCTTGCAGACTCCGCTCTCTATAGAATTTATTCTGTCTCATGTGTTAAAGTACTTTTAGATGTAATTTGTAGTCAATCATTACAGAGAATATACTGTGAACTTAGACATATCAGGATGGACATATTTTGTCTAAAATGTTATGTGAAGTAATCATTTAGTACAGATGGCGATTGTCATAACCATTTCGTGTTGTTGATCTCATTTCAGTAGCAATGGATTTTCACTTATGTACTTTGAAGGGTTCACGGTAAAGGGATTGGGATTACAAGGTATGAAATACCTGGATGTCCTTTTATAATATATCTATATATCTTTAGTACCTTGGTCTCCCCTGATTATGTTGGAGAGTGTGGTTTTGGTTTTGAGGAAGTAACTTAAACATATCGAGAACCTGTAGTAGCAGATTGAACCTAAGCTATTCTACATTGTTTTGGCATGATACTTAGTATTCTTGTTTGAAATAACAGGAGGAAGGATGTTGCATCTTTCTTGGGTAAGTAGGCCAATGAAGAGATGGTCAATGCAATGCATGTTCTGCTTTTGTATCTACGAAGTGCTCCAGATGATGAAAAACCTTTGGTTGCCATACTTATGCTGCACTTTGATCTACTGGTATACTTTCTTGACTATTCATTTTGTAGTTTTTGGGATTTTATTGGATTTTGAATTTGATATTTGTAACTTCTCTTCTTGCCCATTTTTGAGTTGCATCTGTAAGATATGCCTCGGTGAGTATGATGAAATTTTATGGTGATTAACTTGGTATTGGAATTTGAAGATGCAGTGTGAATTTGCAGATTTAATGAAGCCTACTCTTATTTTTTGGTTATCTATTCCAGAAAATTATGGCTAAGATAACACTTTGGTGCAGGTAGAACCTCGGAAGTACAGCATATACAGTGAAGAGGCTGTTGATGCAATTTCTGCATAAGTTATGCAAATGAGAGGTTGCAACAACATTTCAACCGGCATCTGTTAAAACTAGAACAGGAAGTGAGCATCACACATGGACCGTATCTTTAGTAGTTTTGTTTAGTATTTATATGATGGGGATTATCGCTAAAAGCCGGATATTCTTTTTTGATTCATTTCTGTCGTCATTATTTATTGTGCAAGATTAGTTATTGTGCAAGATTATTTATTCTCTCATTATGTGTACTATAAAGAAAAATATTTATGTCATTCTTGTGGAAAATGTAGATGAATGTATTTCATTTTCATATTATTATAATATTTTGATGTTATTAAGTGCTTAATCAATGTTAAATATAAATTTCAGAAATTAATTTTGCTTTTAATTAAGTTTAAAATCGAAAAATAAAATAAATGATTTTATCGTACGATCACAAATTATAAAAGTTCGTTACAAAAATAAAATTTCGTCGCTAATTTCGTCCCTAAACGATATTCGTCGCAGAGTTTGTCGCTAAAGAATTAATAAAAAATCATTGCTAAATTTGTTCATGAATAATGTTCATGGCAAAAATCAAAATTTTTCGTGACAAATTTGCGACGAATTTTGCCACGAGTAAGTTCGTCGCAAATTACAAAAAAAAAAAAATTCGCGCCAAATTAGCGACAAATTTTGCGACGGAAAAATAAATCCGTCGCAATTTTTGTGACGGAAAATTTTTGTGACGGAAAATTTTTGCGACGAAATATTTGCGACGAACTTTGCGACGAATTTTTTTTCCATCGCAAATTTATGACGGAAATTGAAATTTTCCGTCGCAAAAATTTGCGACGACCTAGTAGCGACGGAATTTTTTCCGTCGCTAAATTCGTCGCAAAATCGATTTGCGACGGATTTTTGCAATTTTTTCGTCGCAAAATTTGTCACAAAAAACATGTTTTTTTGTAGTGGCCAAAGGAAAAGGTGAAGAAGTTGTCAGAGAAAAAGGAAAAACGAAGTATAGAAGACCAATAGAACCTTTACAAGTAGCGCTTATTAGGGAAAGCATCTATCTTGCCTTGTCCTTCGATTCATTTAATTACTCAGAGCTAGGGAAATGTCAGATTGCTTACCGGAAGAGTGTTGTAGAAAAGGTGGAATAAAATTAGAAAGAGAGGTTTCATCGCTACATGGGCTTGAACTTGACATCACTCCATATAATCATGTTTTATGGGAAATGGCAAGGTTGGAATAGAGATCAAGAGAAGAATCAATTTGGACCATTACAGATTGTCTGGGGGAGTGCAAAATGGATAGCTTATGGCTGATCTCTCATACAAGCATAAATATTTATCGACTGATGGGCTCACAGAATAGTTTTCTACTATGCTTATAGAAGGGGACATACATTACTTTTGTTTCTTTAGGTGAGGTGTTTATGAAGCTTGTCATTTAGACGGAATGAGATATGCTGAAAGGTGGATAATTTCTTCATAATGTTTTACAACAACAAAATGAATTCCTTTTTTTTTTTTTGGTAAGGTAAGATGTATATTGACTTTTCAAAGCGTAACCTACATATGATGTAACCGAAACACAAAAACCTCGTACCTGAAACAACACCCAAGGTGTCCTAACAGGTGCAAATGTGTAACGGATAGTGAGCTCAAAAGCATCAAACGCAAAATACAGCAGGGCCGAAAAACGACCAACCGACTACAAAAGAGAGTCAACAACAACCGATGAGGATTAATCAAAGATGGTAGGCGAGATGCCCCAATTGACTTGGATCCTTCTGTTGCGAGGATTATCTTCAACAGGTTTGAATGACAAACCTCTATCCCTAATGAGCTTAGCAAGATGTTGCCGTAGGGCCGGCACAAAGAGGGGTTGATTTCTGAAGAGGATATTGTTCTGTGTCGTCCAGATAATATGGCATAATGCTCCAAATGAGAAGCGAGCAATTCGCTGGTGGAAATTGTGACCGCCTATGAAACGGACGGCTCATTGGAGATCTTGCCATGACTGGTTTCTCCAAGAAAGATTACATTTATCCGCCCAGAGTAGTGCAAGGGTACCCGTGATAGGACACCCAAAAAATAGATGATCAACAGAATCAGGTCTACATTTACAAAAGGCACAAACACCTTCCGATATTCTGCGATAATTAAGCAAAACGACCTGTGTTGGGAGCCTATTCAGTGATATAAGCCACAACAAAAAGCCATACCTCGGCGCAATGCTCTGGTCCCAAACGAAGGAACACCAAGGGACAATAGGTCTGCTGATTCTGATCAGCTCCCATGCCGAGGCCACAGAGAAGATACCCGACGAGTGGCCCTTCCACAGTAATCGATCAAGTCTCTGTACATCCAGATCAGGGATAGCATCCGGCCAGGAGTTGAAGGTTTGAAGCATATACGAGCTATGCCAGGAACCGGAAAAGAACTCCCGAACAGAGGCCTCCCTCGGGATACCAGAGCAATAAATGTCCCTATTGGAAAAGAGATCCGAAAGAGGACCTTTGGGATGCCAAGAATCAAACCAGAATGATGTGGTTGCACCATCACCAATTTGCCATTTGAAGAACATTTGAAAATCCCGGCGGATGTCGAGAATTTTTTTCCAAGCCCAAGAACAACAAGTCGGCTTGGGCGCTATTAAAAAATTCTTGTTCTTCAAAAAGGTGGAGTGAATCCACTTACACCATAAAGATTCTTTATCTGTGAAAAGAGTCCATATATGTTTGAGCATTGCTGAATGATTACAATCAAGGAGTCTACGAATACCCAAGCCACCTTCCTCTTTAGGGAGACAAACATCAGACCAGGGGACTTTAGCCCCACCAACGCCAAGGTTCGGACCCTTTCTGAGGAATTGTCTAAGGATCAATTCAATTCTAGACAGAACAGACAGTGGGAGCATGAATACACTTGCCCAGAATACTTGAATAGCATGAAGGATTGACTTAATGAGTTGTAATCGGCCAGCAAAGGATAAAAATCTTTGGGACCAAGAACGAGCACGTGCAGTAATGGAGTTCACTAATGAAATACAATCCGCCTTACTCAACCTGGTCGAGATAATAGGAACCCCAAGGTATCTAAAGGGAATCATACCTTCATTGAAGCCAAACACATTCCGGATCTGTCCTCGAATTTCCGGTGTCCCACCAGAGAAAAATATGTCACTTTTGTTGACATTAGGCTTCAATCCAGACCACTTAGAAAATAGGTCAAGGCCTTCCTTCAACAAGGTAGAAGAGTTTATATTCCCCTCAATAAATAATAGGACATCATCACCAAAGAACAAATGGGTTAAACCCATGGGCTTACACCTCCAAAAATATTTGAAACCCGGACGCCGCGCCTGAGTGTCGAGAATCCCAGAGAGTGCTTCCATCACTAGTGTAAAAAGGTAGGGAGACATAGGATCCCCTTGACGTATACCTCTATCACTTGCAAAGAATCCATGTAACTCCCCGTTAATAGCAATGGAGAATTTTGGAGAGGTAACACACTCCATGATAAGTTTAACAAACAACTGAGGGAAACCAAAGGTTTGCAAAACCGTTTCCAAGAAAGCCCAATCTATTGTGTCATAGGCCTTCTGAAAATCAACCTTAATTGCACACTTTGGCCGATAAGGCTCATGATGAAACCCTGCAAAGAGCTCCCGAGCAAGAAGAATATTGTCTCCTATCCTCCGTCCCTTAACAAAAGCATTTTGGGAGTTGCTAATAATGGACGGCAGAATAGAGCCTAGCCTATTAGCCAAGATCTTGGTAATACATTTATAGACTGTGTTGCAACAAGCAATAGGCCTAAAATCATTCATAGACGAGGCATTAGGAATCTTCGGCACAAGAGTGAGAATCGTAGTATTGATCTCCTTTAGAAGCGATCCTGACCGAAAGAAATCCTTAATGGCCAGCACAACTGAAGGACCCACAGTTTCCCAGGAAGATATAAAGAAATCAACATTAAAACCATCGGGCCTAGGGGCCTTACCTTTTGCAAGGGAGAACAAAGAGTTCCGAATTTCAATGTCAGTTACTTCTCTAGAGAGAAAGAGAATCTGATCGGCACTAAGGGCACGATCCACCACAGCCCGAACTTCTACACACGTAGGATGCAAGGTTGGAGAGTTCGCCTTAAGAAGAGTCTCAAAGAATGAGACGATATGACTGTGAACCAATCTCGGGTCAGAGAGAACAGCTCCATCATCATCCGACACCGAAAGGATCCGATTATGAAGTTGTCTCTTGTTAACGAAATGGTGGAAATATTTGGAGTTCATGTCCCCCTCTTTCAACCATTTAATCCTTGATTTCTGTTTAAAGAAACTTTCCTCCTGGAGTCTAAGATCCGAAAATACCTGAAGATGCTCCTTTTCCAGGTTTGCCAAGTCCATGCTAAGAGGGTCCAAAGCGAGGGCGTCTTGAGTGGACGTAAGATCAGCCCTGGCTTGAGAAGTACGCGTTGAGATATCCGAAAAAGAATCCCTATTGAGCTGCCTGAGACGCCCTTTGAGCAGTTTAAGTTTTTGGCAGAGGACATACATGGGGGTTCCACCAATGCGAGAATCCCAAACCTGAGCTACAATCGTAGGAAACGAAGGATGAGTCATCCAACAGTTGAAAAATTTGAATGGTTTCCTTGAGAAGGTGGCGAGAGCAATTCTAACAATTATGGGAGTATGGTCAGAGACTCCTTGGGCTAGAAAGTTGGCCTCCGAGAAGGAGAACGAGCTGAGCCATTGATCGTTAATCAGTGCTCTATCAATTTTCCTTTGCTTGCGAGAGACACCAGAAGATGTCGCCCAAGAAAACTGATGGCCAATATATCTTAAGTCATCAAGGCCAGCTTGATCTAAACAATGGCCAAGTTCATCAAACGCCGGTATCCAGGTATTAGAACTACCCAATCTATCCGAGTTGAATATGATTGCATTGAAATCGCCTGCTACCAGCCAAGGTTCAGCCTCAAAAAGTTCGCTGGACCTAATAAGATCAGCCCATAGAGAATGCCTAGCAATAAAGGTATGCTCCCCATACACAACCGAGAAGAAGCAAGTCTTATTGAGAGCCAAAATACGGACATGGCCGTGGATAACTTGAGAGGACAAAGAGATAACTTCCAGGTCTACCTCATGAGGTTTCCACCCAATCCAAATTCTTCCACGAGGAGAACAATTATAATTGGCAGTCCACACCCAGCCAGGTAAAAGCCCAGTAGAGATCTTTTTCAAAAAGAGTCGGACTAATTTTTGTCTCAAGTATACCAATACAAGAGATATTATGAGCTCTAACAAGGGCTCTAATTTCGGCCTGCTTAAGGGGGGCGCCAAGGCCCCTAATATTCCAAATACCAAAAAACATATAGAGATAAGAGGATGGGACTACCGCCTTTTAGAGCCGCCCCGATTTCTTGGTTTCGGTTTGGCCACCTTGGTGGAAGGAGGATTGGAAGCTGCACTGGGGTTTTCCACTGGAGCAGACACTGGGGCTACAAAATCGCCTTGGATAGGGTCAATACCCCTGGGCGCATTACCGTCAGCATTAGGGGCGTCCCTGGACTGAGCGGGAATGACAGAATCACGTAGGGGCACCTTCAATCTAACTGTCGGGCCAGGGGAGGAAGAGTCCCCCTCCTTATCACTACCAACACTGCTGGCTGAGTCCTCTTCATTAGCTTCTGATACAGAGGAGGCGTCAGAAGAATCCCGAGAGGACAGATCAGGTTCTGGGACAGGGAACGTATTAACAACCTCATTAGCACGACTTAGAGTGGGCGCATTAGAGACCGGGTGGGGGGGGGGGGGCACCAATGCAGAGGACGGATTCCCTGGTTGCCGCTTCTTTTTAACCGTCTGCCAAGCACCATCCACGAGAGAGGGCTTGTTAATAGCAGCATCAGGAATTGGACTGACTTTAGGACTCTCCATGGGCGCCTCAGTGGGAGTAGCACACCTATGGCCGAAAGTATCACAGGTCATACAGGATATTGGGCGCCACTCATACTCCACTTTTATCGACCAAGTTTCCCCATTTAAGATAACATCCACAGAATCAAGAAGAGGCTGGGACGCCTTGATCTCTACACACACTTTAGCGTAGGAAAGCATTCTCATTTTTTCCGTCTGCATATCAACATGCAGCGGTTTACCAATTGGACTGGCCACCGCGCTGATGCCCGAAGCCGACCACAAGGCATAAGGGAAGTTCCTTAATTTAATCCAGACCGGGAGAGCCTGGTGTTGGTTTTTGTTGAGCTTCAATGCCGGGTTCCACTGTTGGAGTATCATAGGCACCCTAAGGATAGTGATCTTGCCACTGTCCAATATTTTTCGACGGTTGGGCTCTTTGACCGACGGTTCTTGCTGTTCCTTGGTGTTGGGCCTCGCCAGCAGCTGTTCTAACTCTGGACCGGAGGATTTCGCTTGAGGAAGCCCCTGTTATTCGGGTAAACAGATCTGGGAATTAGTTTCTTCGCTGTTCTTAGTCCCTATTCACTCGACTGGTTTCTTCCTCTGATTCTGGTAGTTCAGATAGTCGAATATTGTTGTTCCCTGGGTCTGGGCTTCGCCAGTTGCTAGATTGCCTCTTGTCCGAAGGATTTCTCATAAGGTGGCCTCTGGTAGTTGGGTCTGCAGTTCTGGGTTTTTCTGGGTTTCGTTGCTGTTCTTCGGCTACTGTTCACCCGACTGGTCTCTCTTCGATTCTAGTCATTCAGACTGGCATTTCTGTTTGATTTTGGTTCTGGGCTTGGCCAGTTGCTGTGTTGTATCGGTGGTATTCACTCGAGACCCCTGTTAATCGGTGTGTCAAGATTCTCTGTGGCCTTCCTTCTGGTTTGCCCTTCGAATTGCTCATGGCATTTCTGTTCTAAGCTTGGCCATGGCTGGAAATCAGTGCATTGGGGAGTCTCTCCCTCAATCAAAGGCACCTATGGAATTGGCAGAACCTGTGCAAGGCAAGGTACTCTCAAAGATCCCTAAGCATCATTCTGTTGCTAAGACTGGCTCATCCAAAGCCATTCAGAGAATCGCACCTTCTGTGGAAATTGCGAAAGTTGATGTCCCTGGTGCTTCAATGGAAACTGGTAATTCCGATGCTGTGGCTCGTCAGTCACAACGTCCCGGTAGTCGCGGACGTAGCAGGCCCCAATCGGTCGCGGTGGAAGCTATGGCAATAAATCCCCCTACTGCTTTAGATGTCCCGGGTACCTCTAATGCCCAAACCCAGCAGGTACAGAAGCCTTCTAGGCGAAGCAGAAGCCGGGGAAGAAATCTGTATAAGCATCCTCGAAATGACTCAGCTGTTGCTAGGCAAAATAGCAGAGATGAAGTGGTGGCTAAGCCACCTAGTAGGGACCCAACACAGCAAACCCAACGTTCATTGGCAGCTGTTGCTAAGTCAGCGGTGAAGGGGTATTCCCTGTCCTATATTCCTCCATCTATGGTAGATGGAAAACCGGTTGTTAGAATCTCAGAGGAAATTCTAGAGGATACTAACCCGATGTGGTTGGAGTGTATTGTTGGCTATTTCGTTGGCAAGAAATTGCCCTTTAAATTGACGGAGAGTGCAGTTCAAAATCTATGGGGGACACAAGTGGTAGATGTCCTAGCAAATGTAGATGGATTCTTTTTCTTCCATATACCTGATGAAGCCTTTCGTCACAAAATGAATTCCTTTGCTTTCAAGTACTTTTATTTTTTCCCTGGGAGAAAGGGGAGGGGATTGAGATGCGGTGGTTCTCTTCCTAATGGTGAGGTGCATTTGGAGTCTTGGTCTTTTATGTTGGCTGGAAATACAGGACCACATTGATACCGATAGCTATAGTGACATAGAAAATCAGTGAATATTGCGCGATAAAACATCAGATGTGGAAATTAGACAGTGTAGCTGAGAGAACTGCTTGCTTGGTGGATGTGCCCAAATGAAAGAGTTAGAAGTGAATGCACATTCAAGAAAGCTTCAAGTATATACCTGTTTGCGGTAAGACCAGGGAAATTCAACCTAAGATGGTTTAGACCTGTCGAACGATGGCCTCCTCATGTTTCCTAGATGAAATATGTAAGAAGGAATGCTCATGGAAATTAACCTCAGATAGAAGTGAAAACGCTTTGTTATATTGTTGTAGCTAATTTGGGAATGCTAAGCCAATGCTAAATTTGTAAGAGTGACCTGTGTTTCTTGTGCGGACAACAGATGTTCATCTTCGCTCTCGTTTCCTAAGGTTGTCTAATTTCTCTTTGTATATTCTTGACACTGTTCAGAAATTGCCATCCCTAGAAGCAGCTCTACACACAGTAGATTCTAGTGATAAAGCGATAATTTCAGCAATCATTGGTCAATACTCTGAGCTGCCTATGTTGAAAGAGCAAAGTCGGTTAGTTTTGACCTACCATTTCCTCCATCTTCTTGTTGAGTTCTCTGTTTGGTTTTGTCTAGCAGTCCATGCACAAATGTTCTTATCCTGAAAATACCAAGAAACCTCCAAAACTTTCTTATTTGGAAAGATGATGAATTGGTTATATAGAACAAAACAACATGAAAGAAAAAAAGAAAATCAAGTGAAAAAAGTGCATTTTTACCGAACCAAGGATGTGTCAACATAGCAGGACTTTATTCCCTCTTTAAAGGTATAAGTCTACACACATGTTACCAGTGGATAAAAGAGGGTATAAAGTCCTGCTATGTTGACAGTTTGAGTGGCTAGCAGTAAATCCCGGCTAACTCACTCTCTCAATCAATGTCATATTTATCATTAAAAAGTTCTGTTTTTGACAGGTTGGATGTCATCAATAGGTGCTTCTCGGGAAGAACAGGGGAAGACATTCTATCTGCTCATATCTGCTCTTGTAAGCTGATGGTGATTTTGTTCTCCATCTGGAGTCCTTATTGTATTCATGAGAAGGGGCCTCTGCATGTGTACATGCATGGGGTAACTAGTCAATGCTGATCTATGCACATTATTTTGATTCAACATTTCCTCGATCTCCCTTTTGCAGGAGCGAGAAGCCACGAATAAGGTAGATGATTGGATCCATGCCTCACTTCGGTCACTGAAGAAAGCATCACCAACAAGCCTTAAAATTTCTCTTAGATGGGTGAGGTTGCTGAATCTTTTGATGAAATATCAGCAGTGCATTTTTTGACACAACTAATAATTTATAGATTATGTGAATTGTGAATATGTTCGAATAATTTCCATCTAAGACGTGCCAACCAACTTCTTGTTGGAATGTCAGCTAAAGGGAACGGCATCATTATTCTACTGGAAAACCGAGATTTCCTTTTCTTCTCTTTTTGCCTCGGATCACCTACTGGGACAGATATCGTGACAACCGTATGCTTGATTTAAATTTAGACGTGCAGGGATATGACTATAACCACCTATGAAGCACCGACACGTTCAGGAGGCCTCCGTGTCGGTTTCGGATACCGACACGTGTCCGACACGCATCCAACACACTCGGACACGCTCCGACACGTGGTCAACGTGCCGGACACGCTGCCGACACGTGATTCTGACACGCGCGGTGTCAATTTTATAAATTTTCAAAATATTAAGGGTGAAAATGTAAATCTATAAAAAAAAAAGAAGAAAAAAAAAGAGAAAAGGGAGAAAGAAGAAAGAAACCCTAGTCTTGTCAGCCTTTCCTCCGCCAGCCCTCCCTCGCTCCACGCCTCTTCTCATCTTACGACAGCCTTGCCTCCGCCCCTATCTCACTCCACGCCTTCAATTCCATTTGTAAAAGCACAATATAAACTTTTGTAAGATGTGACTTGGCGTGCCATAACAAAATTTCGACTCTGTTTATTTCATGGAAAGCACAATGAAGTATAAATTATTTTCTAAGAAATTATTTTTCAAGAAAATGACGTTATTTTCCTATGTTTGGCAAAATTACAAAAACGAGTTGGGAGAATAATTTCCAACATTTGAAATAGGAAATCGATTTGTGTTTTTCTCTCAAAGAACGAATTTTCTTTTCTGGAGCACTTTGTTGCATTGCTTGATCTATATGCTTTGTTTGATAGTTACGAGTTGGATTGACACATCTCCAATTCAAGTGAATAACTACTTCAGCAAGATAACCACGATTTTAATTCAGATTTGTTTGAGAAATTTTCACAAGCAGTTGGTGGGCATGTTAATAACAAGCATCACCAATCCAAATTGATCTTCCAGCTCCACCAATATCCGCAGAACCAACAGTAGAGAGCAAATGAACAAATGAACGAGTTTCCATGTATCTTTCACCAGAAAATGGATAAGAGCATGAAGAAATCATGGGGCTCAACAAAATCCAATACAGAGAGAGAGAGAGAGAGAGAGAGAGAGAGAGAGAGAGAGAGAGAGAGATGCACATCTAGGCGATGGATGAGAGCTCCTTCGGGTTCGAGATCGAGCGGGTCTGGACTCGGACCTGGCGGCCACAGTTCCCCATGGAAGATGAGTCGCTCCAGTCGGACTGTTTCCAATGAGCCTACGAGACGTCCTTTGTGTTCTTCTTGCAAAATGACTTCCCACATTTTCAATTAAAAAGTTCTTTTCTTTAGTAAGGCCTAAGTTTTCTTATCTGCGGAAGTCATTTCCCGAATGAAGAAAACAATTTCCAATAAAATGTTTTCCTCCAAACAAACACAGCCTTTGGATGCAAGCTTGGGACTCAAGAAATAGAAAAGGCGTTTGCAAAATCGAAATAAAAGGTAAGGCGGGTATTTCCGATATTCTCATCTCCAATTCAAAGCCGGAGTTGGCGAGTCCTAGCACAACAAGCTCTAATGCGTGATAGTGAGCAGTTCTCACAAACGAAGTCCAAAGATCTACATAAAAATGTGACAATCCATGTCCAAATCAAGCCCACCTAATTTCTTTCTTTAGGCCAACGAGCAGCAAGTCCAATATACAGGGAATTGACAATCTCACCAACTATACAAATGTGGTCGCTCTAGCACGAAATTGCATCTCTTTCTAAATAGGAATAAGGTGGCGCAATTTAGAACTCATTAGCAAAAAACAATGAGTGTAACTTCTCCCTAGACAACTTAATCATGAGAGCACACCCTCATCTCTTTCACGTGTGATGGAGGCCGAAAGAATACCAAGGTCGCGATTTAAGAATGTTAATGCAGATTCACATTCTGAGATTATTCTCGTGACAGAGGAGGGTTCGCCGGAAGCCGTTTCAGTCAACCCAACAGCCAGAGCTGCATATGAATCTCTGAGATTCCTCAAGTTACCAAGGAACTGCAGAAAGTTTTAGCGATGGCTAAGATAAAAGATGCTCAAGGGATGTTGAGTCCATCTAGGATATGAGTTAATCATAGAAACTGATAAAATCTATCAAACTGACAGAACCACTACCTTTGCAGAAATTTCAGTACGCAAATTTGATCAAGCTCGGGGATTGAACACTATAAATCAATTACTCTAGATTAGCTCTCAAGTGACATCCCATTAAGAAATGCAAGTAAATATAACAAATATCTTTTTTCAGAGTTGAAAGTTCTAAATTCTTTACCATATGCACATACAAAAGTTTCAATCAAAGAGAGAGAGGGAGAGAGAGATTCTTTTTGCATAAGTCACAACATCTTGATGCAAAATTGACATATGAAATACATGCAAAAATTCTGAATATATCAACAAGCTTGTGCATAACCCCCACAAAGCTTCTCTTAAGATTTTATGATTCAAAATTAACTCCGTGGCCTGTTATGACAATCATAGCATGTGATTTTAGCATGGATAGCGCACATGCAAGAAAAGTAGATATCTTAATTCATCTAATGTGATGCTTAAACTATCCCTGGTGGTACAGACCAAATAAAAAACAATCCCTGGTGGTAGTTTTCCTGTCATTGATTGGAGAGTACCGTGTATCTTAGAAAAATAACGTATCACTAGAAAACAAGAAAACTTTTGCTCAATAAATATTTCATGCAAACCAAAACTGAGGGCTTTCTAATTTTTCTACAATTTGCCACCTTATCAACATTCAACTCTTGATTCACTTTGTTACCGGGCCGGGACAGACGTCGGGCCCGGCATTCCCACTGTAACGTTCCATTTCAAGGGCGCGGACGTGGAGCTGGACGCAGGGAACACCTTCGTTCGAGTGGCTGACGACATCATATGCTTCGCATCGAAACCGAGCCGGACGTCGATCTACAGCAACCTGGCGCAGATCACTTAAGCGAAGCGTCCGTGAGTTCCGGCGGCCCTACCTTGAGACCTCAGTTTCCGTGCCTGTTTTATTGAAGCAAGATGCTGGAATTAGAAGAGTACGAGTACAACCACGACTTGCGTTGCAAGCATATTCGTTCCAAGGGACGCCAGCAGGGTCTGACCATGTTGTGTCACGTGCGATCAGCTATTCTTTATCGCAGTCACTATTGCCAGCAACTATACATATTATGCTGTCGAAGAATAAGTTCGAAAATGAGATTTGCCTTTAGAGAGTAATTTTCACTGTAGTAGGGTTACAGAAATTCTTGAGTTTTCCAGGTCAATCTAATTACCTGCTGAATGTCGAATTCTACTAGGTTCATGATGCCGAACAGGTGTTTATCGCATAATTTTAACCATATCATTATCCATAATCCTTAATGTAGAAGAGGCTTTTCATCGGTAGAGGAGACGTTGAAACTTACCAGTCTTTCTTCCAATTGCTGAATTACTGCCATCAGTAATAGAATCATATCGTGCTGAATCGGAGGGACCAGTCCCCTCCGGACGATAAAGTTCCTGCCTTACATGCAATTATAAGTTCTATCAATCAGAAACTTGCCTTAGTATCTACGTAGGTGATCAATATCATTTCCAAATTCTTAGGGTACCCAACTTACAAAAGTGATATATGAGATTCTACTCGACATTAGCTAAAGTTTCTATTACACAGTTACACTAACAATTGGGTCGAGGAAACGGGCTGCCCGTGCCATACAAAGTGAGGGAGGCATATACGCCACGTCTCTCAGAACCCGTTATTCTCGCAACAATCTGCTGATTCTGTCCAGCTCTTACAATATCAAATGGTGAATATAGTTTGGGGATTTAAATTGAACACCAATAAGAGAAACTTAGTTAGGGGAGCAAAAGATAGATGAATGGATGCAGTCAAGTGACCCAAAATTTTTTTAAAAAATAAACCATTACCAAAATTACCATCTAGGCAGTAGGCAGAGGCCGATTTTCTATAAATTCAAGATACATGGTTTTTTCGCTTTCTCTTTTGCTTCTTTTGCTTCTTGTATTTGTCATATAAAACTCAGTGCCCTCGTTGTACGATCTAACTCACTCCTCAATCTCTCATTCTCTTTAATGTCGCGCAGGAGCATATAATGCTCTGATAGCTTCTTTTTCACCTCATCTTCATCGAGTGAACCTGCTTCCTCCAGAACTTGGGCCACACTGGATGCTGCCACTCTTTCACTAGCACGTTTCCTCTTGTTGCTCGACTTCACAGCATTGCTCTTCACGCTGAAGGATTCCCGTTCAAGTGATAAGTTTAGAAAAGTTTGTTGTGGGGAGAGCATGGAGAGATGAGCTTGGGTAGGAGCAACACTCAAGTTAGAGATGCCGGAAGCCAAAGTTGAAATAGTCCGATGATAATGTTTTGTTAGAAGGTTGAGTTCGCAAAGCACGGAAGCTAGTGCACCACTTTGATTAGGGTCCGAGGCATATGGTTGATATTTCTGCAAAACAGTAATTGCTATTAGAGAGATTGTTCGTAATTTACTTAGCATTTCAAGGGGGAAAAATGAAACTAAGGGCCCGTTTGACAAGTTGCCAAATAGTGAAAATTTCTATTCTTTTATTCCCAAAATCAGTTTGGGAACAGAAATCCGTTTGTTAAAATTTTTGTGCCCGGGCACAAATTTGCAAAAAATTGTTCCCAGAATCAGTTTTGGAACAGAATCAAGAAGCAAAAAAAAGTAGCTTCTTGATTTTGGGAACAATTTTTCTATTTCTGATTCTTCTTGATTTTCTTCTTCCCTTTTGGTTTGTTGTTCTTCTTCTTCCTGACTTGTCGCTGGCCACCGGTGATTGGCCATAGGCCAGGGCTGGCGAGGGCGGCTCGCGGCCACGACGGTGAGACCTCACCCAGCCATGGCGAGGCCGACCTCGCCGTCTCGACCCAGGCAA